CCTGTAACTTCAGGGGTTTCTATCCTTGCCCCTATACTCTTTTTAATTTACATTAACAATATTCCAGATACTCTCACATCTAAAGATGGCATTGTTCGCTGATGATACTACCATTTATTATTGTCATGATAAGAACACTCTTTGATTGCTTGGAGGGGGCATTTGATAAGGACCTCACTTCTGCTACAGCATAGAGGACACAGTGACTAGTGAACTTTAATTTTTTTCAGGCAACCATTATCGTAATAATTTAGATCTTTCTTTATTTATGAACGATAATGAATTTGATGAGTTATCTACCATTCATCTTCTATGATTAACTCTTACTTACTCCGGATTCTATTCTTTATCTCTATAAATCTCAAATCTGTCCTTGTTTGGAATACTGTGTCATATCTGGGGTGGAACTTCCAATGATGCCTTTTCTCTTTTAGACAAGGTACAAAAACACATTTTAAACATAGTTGGACCTGCTCTTGCAGCCAACCTCCAACCATTATCACATCGTCATAATGTTGCTTCTCTTTTTCTTTTCTACAGATACAATAATGGACATTGCAAGTTTTATTATACGCGTTGCTGAAAAAAGTTTTAAATTTAATAACTACATAAGAAATTAAAGTAAACTTAAATAGAAAACAATAATATTAGTTTAAATACTTTGTGTTTTGTTTTTATTTTTGTTTTTTCTTAGTGATTATTCTTAGTGGTTATCGGCAACAAAATTCAGTAAGTCAAAGCAAAAAAAAAAAAAAAAAAAATTTTATGTGTTTTTTCTTTTAGAGAGGAAAGAGAAAATATGTATCGTCATCTGTTTGTAAAATATATTTGTATAATTAAAATGTAACAAATTTATATCAAGGGTTAAATTATACAACTGCGATTTGCAAACTCCGGTAAAATATTAGGTCATTAAAATTTTAGTTTATGCAAAGCTGTGTACTTTGTTTATAAGGACCAAAGTATCAAAAGTTTGCTAGCGAGAAAGTTGCAAAAAACAAAACAAAAACAATAAACTTACGACTACAAAAGTAATAATACTTTAGTAACTAACTGCAATATAAAAGTAATAAAACTATAATAGTGTTATTACATTTATAAAGCACTTATTACTTTTAAAGTTCATTCTTTGTTCAAACAACATTATTAATTCCAAACATTTATTAAAGTAGAAAAGCATCTAGAATAATAAAAAATAAAGCGGATATTCAAATATTAATAAAAATTTCAGAAACTTTCACAGATCACTTTATAAAGAGCAAACCTTACGTAAAAACATGCATTAATTTTAAAATCAACCAATAAAACATTTTTATTGGTTAATTTTAAAATTAATGCATGTTTTTACGGTCCATTAGTAACGTTTTTTATAATGCTAAACTTTTATTACAATACGTTTTTATAAAGTTGTTTGTCACGTTTTTATACGTTATTTAAGTGTTAAATATCATTTGAACACCCACTTTATTCTTCTAGATATTTTTCTACTTCAATTAAAATTTGGGATTACTTATGTTGCTTGAACAAAGAATGAATGTTAAAAGTTATAAGTGCGTTATTAAAATAATAACACTATTATAGTGTTAATACTTTTGTAATGCAGTTAGTGACTCGAGTGTTAATTTTGTTATCGTGATTTTTATAAAACTTGTAAATGGCTGTGTTCAAGCTGTCTAAAATAATATACTCGCGTGTGGTCATACAAGATGAAAAACCGCACGCCTTTCCTGGGAAGGCTTGTAAGTTGTCTGTCAATAGTTATCTTGCTCTACAATCTTCTTCTTTTTTCTTCCAGTAACTTCCAACTCTAATAGTGGTTGCTTGCAGCCTAGTTGATAACCATATATTGAAAAAAAAATAATAAGTGCGTATTGGCATAAGTTGCAAATCTTCAAAAAGGTATAAGATAAATAAGCATATGTGCAAATTAGGATAATTGTGCCAAAGGAATTTGCAAAAACTGGCATAGATGTGCCAAAAGAATTTGAAAACATTGGTATAAGTGTAAATCCATATGTATGCCAGTTTTTGCAACTGTTTCGCACTTATGACAGTTCACACATATTCTAATTCAAATATTTATATACTTTTTGGTGCACTTATGGCATTTCACATTTCAAATGCCAGCTTTTGTGACTGTATTGCACTTTTTCCAGTTGGTACTTATGTCAATTCGCACTTTTGCCAATGTTTTCAAATTCTTTTAGCGCACTTATGCTGGATTGCACTTATTCTAGTTTGCACTTATGCAAGATTTTGGAACTGTTTCTCACTTACACCAATTCACACTTATGCAGATTTGCTGTTATGAAAGCCGCTTTGCTTTAAAATAAAAAAATACCCATACATATAATTGCTTGTTGTTATTTTCTGTTTTGAAATATCATTGCAGTTAATCTTTGCAAGTCAAACAACAGTATATTAGAATTGTTTCATTGCAGCACCTCTGTAATCATTTGATAAAAAGCCACAAAATTTAAAACTGGCTTTTTTCAATAATTTTTCTGTTTGGTATGTTTTGCAACTTTTTGCAGAGCTTGTTATGAGTTATCTCATATTTTTAATTACTTTAAAAAAATATAATACTTATTTTAATTAAAAAAAAACACTTATTTTAAAATAAGTTCAATAACAAACAAGACTAAACTTATTTTTTAACTAATCTTAATAAAAAGTTAAAAGTTTAATAAAAGTACAATGAACATTTTTTAACAATAAATAAAAATTTGACTTGATAACAATATAATAATGTTGCTGAAAAACATTAAGTAAAATAAAAATAGACAAACATTAAGTAAGATAACAACAGACAAAGATTAAGCAAGATAACAGACAAACATTAAGTAAGATAACAGCAAGCAAACATTAAGATAACAACAGACAAAAAGAAACTCAGACAAACTTTGTTTTTATAACCATAATAAATTTATTACTAATAACTTCTTTTTATTAACTTAAGAATGAATTAATAACCTTAATAAACTTATGACCTTTTAAAAATGGTATTACAACCCTCTCAACTCTTATAGAAATTCAGGTTGGTGCTGGTTTTCTGTAAGTAAGTCAGTTTTTACATCATAGTTTGTAAAATAAAGAAAAAAGCTTTTCTAACTTTCTATGTATATTTTATTTCAAAACAAAATTTGAGTGTCTTGAGATAATACCTGCTAACATTCTCTTGGAGTAAAGCTTTTTGGATTAGATAACCTTTTCTTAAGATATCTCTTTAACCTAAATAAGTTAATAATTTTGTTTCCATAGAGAATCTTGTGTTTTTGAAACAGTCATAGTTAATTTATTATCTTAATAAGAAATTAATATTATTATTGACTGCAAATCAGGGTTGCAAAAAAACCGATTTTTTTGAAAAAAACCAAAAACCATAGGTTTTTAAAAAAAAAACAAAAAAACCCTGGTTTTTTTGGTTTAAATTAGGTTTTTACTAAAAAATGCGGTATTTAGTTATCCTTTTTAAATTAAAAAAAGCATAACATATTTTATTTGAGTAAACTATATTCTTTATCAATATTATTGTTATATTTCATCAAAATTATTTAATATATCATTGTTTAATGTTCTATATATAAATACAAGCTGCTTTTTCTACCCCCAATCCGTTTCTTAACTTAAAATGAATAAGACCAAAAGTTGAAAAATTCTTTTGATTCCAGCACTAGAAACTGGTGCATTTAATAAACCTTCAATTTCCATTATGTTATAGTAGATTTGGTTTTCAATTTGAATAATATTGGTAACAAATTCTTGAACTCTTTACCTGCGAAATTCATGGCAGCTTCATTCTCATTTTCAGAAAGATTAGATCCAAAATATCTAGGATCTAGTGTGTTTGCTAGGAAATGAGTATCACTGACAGTCTGAAGGTATCTAAATTCAATTTTTTTTTTTTTTTTCGTTTGATAAAAACGATAAACTGTTCATCAAATCTTTAAAAATTTCAAGAGTCAATTATTTTTGTTCGATCTCTTTGCAACTTTTCTAGAGCTATTGCAATTGGTTTCAATATATTCAACAAATCTTCTGTGTTTAGCTATCTGTGTATCACTTTTTTACCAATCACGGGATCCAAGTCTTTATTTTTTTCAAACATTGTAAAAATAATGCTCCAGTTGTTGACATATTTTTAATGTGAATCACATACAGAATTCCAGTGAGAAGCATATTGATAAATTAAAAAAAAATAAATAAAAAAATCATGGATTTAAAAAAGTATATCTATATTGAAGATTATATTTGTGTGCATAACATTGTCTTAGTTTCCTGTTTTAAGTTCAAATCTTTTTAAAAAAACATTAGTTTGGTTTAAACCAACATTTTTTAAATTGGTTTAAACCATTTGGTTAAAACAATGCAACCCTGCTGCAAATAAAAAGTATAGTTGAACCCTTATAACTTAAACTACTTTTTTATAGTTTGCAAATCACAATATAATATAATACATTAACTTATAATAAATAGCATAATATATAAAAAAGGTGAAATGACTAAAATCAAAAAAAAAAAAAAATTATTTTAATAATTTCACCTGCACTTCAAATGATATGCAAACAGTAAAAGCCCTACAATTAAAAGGGATTTTTTTTTTCTATTATTTAAACCTGATATTGTTTTTTTTTTTTTAAAGCTAAAAATGAGAAGAAAACTGCTAAATCAATGAACTTTGGTTCAAATTATATTTTTTAAACTCTCTACACTTACCTCCTTTTTTTTAACCAAAAAAACTCATTATTATATGATCATACATAGTAATACTAAAAAAAACCTCATTTCAAATTTTAAAAGATACAACTCTTATATTTATGTTTAAATCAACAATTTTACCTTTCCAAAAAGTGCAACTCTGTGTAATTAAAAAATATATATATTTATTTAATTTTTTTTTTATAAGTTAATACTCTTATAAAGCAACACCATAATTATGATCTGCCAAATTAATAGTCAAGAATTTTAAAAAATAATTAATTTATAATATATTAACTTACTGCATATAACTGCTCTTCAATATTAAACCTTTCTCGAAGATTGCGAAAAACAAGTGGCATGTATTCTTTAAATTTAAAGTGACCTGGCATATTTTCCCTGATGGAAAAAAATATATATTTAAATCAATATTGTATAAAATATAATTAAAATAAAAACTAAATAAAAAAACCAATAATTAAAAAAAATTATAAATGAAAAAAAAAACTAATAAAACTAATAAATAAAAAAACTAATAAATAAAAATAATAAATAAAAAAGAAAACAAATAAATAAAAAAACGAAGTATAAGTATAATACTTTTTGTCATATGCATCCTTCATTCTGGTTGCATAAACCAAAACCTTAGTCAGTATGTACATACTGAACATTTTTTGTTATATTTCTTTTTAATATACTTTTTTATATTTCTGTTTTATTTTATTTCATTGTTTCTTTACTTTTTTTTTATCATTTTATATGTAAATTTTACAATTATTATATATATATATACATATATACATACATATATATATATATATACATATATAATATATATATATATATATATATATATATATATATATATATATATATATATATATATATATATATATATATATTACAATTTATTTTCTTATAAATTGCAACAAAATAGACAATATCAAAAAAATATACAATAAAAAAGTTAAATTGTTTAACAAAAGGTTTTGTTAAACAATTTAATAATTTTTTTATTGTATATTTTATATAACTTTTTTATTGCATATTTCACAGCCGTCTGTTAATTGCTGTAGCAATGCTGTAGCAGAAATGTGATCATTTTCAAGCTCAAATGTCCCCTCTAAGCAATCAGAGTGTGTTGGCTTTTTTTTTGCAAAAAATGGTAGTAATGTAAATTTAAAAAAGTATAGGGCCAAGGATAGAACTTTGAGGAACCCCTGAAGTTACTGGAAATGAGGAAGAGTACTGTCCATCGAGGACAACTTTTATACTAAGATTATTCAGGAAGGATTTAATCATCTTAAAGATGTTACCTGATACATCATAAGAAGAGAGATTATAGACAAGACCAGCATGCCAAACATTATCAAAGGCTTTAAAAATTAGAAAGTAAGTTATTAGATTCAAGATTCAAGATTAAGTTTTAGTTAATTAAAGACTCAAAAACCTTGCTTATGATAAGAAGAAGACTAGTTGGACTGTAATTCACAAGTTTACAATTTGGCTTTGTCTTTAGGTGAGGTAACAAAATCTGAACCATGCAAGAGATGTAAAAAAACGGATTCGCCATTATTATAGACGCTGTTAAAGATTCTTCAGAAGTATCTGGAGACTAATTTTTGTTATGAAATGCAACATTTTGTGACCTGAGAATAGCAGGCTTTGGTATTAGACAAAACCTTTTTAAATGATTAATTTTTAAATGATTAAACAGACATATGCTTTCTGGAGAATTGTTTTGGCAATAGATATGGAAGTAATGGTTACGATTGGAATTTGCAGCAGCACAATGAGAAGAAAACCATGGAGAAGAATGAGTGTTGACTTGGAATTGTTGAGAGGGAATAAAAGATTCCATGCAGGCCTAAATCCAAGAAGTAACATAAGAAGCACATTTATCAGCAGAAAGACAAAAGATTTCTACCTGAGGGCCATCACAAAGAAAATCCTAGCCAGCTTTAAGGTACATATAAATTTAATTGTTGTAAGAGGTACAATGATAGGAGGATTCTGATGATGAAGAAAAAGAAAACAATAGTTCAAGAGAAATCAAATTTTGATCAGATGTATATATATATGTATATATATATATATATATATATATATATATATATATATATATATATATATATATATATATATATATATATATATATATACATATAAATATATATATAAATATATATATATATATATATATATATATATATATATATATATATATATAATATACATATATATATATGTAAATATATATATATATATATATATATATATATATATATAAATATACATACATATATATATATATATATATATATATATATATATATATACATATACATATACATATACATATATATACATATACATATGTAAATATATATATATATATACATATATATATATACATATATATATATATATATATATATATATATATATATATACATATACATATACATATATATACATATACATATGTAAATATATATATATATACATATATATATATACATATATATATATATATATATATATATATATATATATATATATATATTTATATATATATATATATATATATATATATATATATATATATATATATATATATATATATATATATATATATATATATATATATATATATGGGCAATTCCACATACTAAACACATACTAAACTCCATAACTCTTTTTTTTAACAATTTTTAAATTGTTAAAAATTGTAATTAAAAAATGAACTTTTAGGCAAAAAAAGTATTTAATAAAATAATTTTATTATAGCATAAATTGATTTTAAAAGTGTAAGGGTTGCAAAAATGTGTTTTGACATTAATTTACAGTCCTGTTGGGTAGCATTAAAAATTGCATCACAAAACCATAACTGAGAACTTTGATAATGCTATTGTGCATTTTTTAACATAATTTACATGGTTTCAAATAACCACTTATAATTTTTTTCTTAGATCATTGATTGCATTGTTTTTACCATTACAAATGTCACAACAAAAAAAACATAAAAATCTTTGTAAAACTTTAAGTAAAAACTATAAAACTCAGCATTTAACAGACTTAATCAATTTAAGCGCGTTTTATTCCTTAGAGTTTCAGTACATAGCTCCATTGATTTTTTTTTTGTTTTGTTTATATAATCGATTTTCTACACAAAGAAAGAATCGATTTTCTACCATCCTCATTAACTAATTTTTTTATAGAAGAGTACAAATACATTTGATACTTATAACCATCAACTGAAAGAAAAGAATTATTAACCATATTAAAAATAAAATCAATTCTCATCTTTGCAAGTTTTTTTGTATTGAACAGAAACACCTTTTTGTATTCAAAACATGACTAATTGTAGTACGCAGTTTTTTTCTTTTCTTAAGTAATTTGTTGGTTGTTCAGAAATATATGCTTTTTAAAACAAATAAAAAATAATAATTTTCTCATTTGCTCACTATTTAGTGTAAGAGGATGCAATAAAGCTATGGATTTATCTGTTTTAAAGGTATCTTTTATACGATTTTTCCAAAATGATTTTCTTTATTTCAAAACACTTGGTTCTGTTATATAAGCGTCTTCTACTTCATAAATATCTTTTGATGCTTGTGAATGTATTAATAAATTTAAATCATGTAAATAAAAAAAAGTGCTCATTTGCCTCAGTCACCTAAGAATATTTTAAAAGAAGAAATGTTCATTATTTTCATAATGCCATAAAGTAGAGGCAAGTTAGAACTTTCAAAAATACTTGAGATTTAATCTGATTTTTTGTTAAAAAACAACAACACAAATTTACAATTAACATAAATGATCTAATATCTCTGTCAAAGGAAAAAAAAAAAAGAAAAAAAGAGACTGCTTCTATTCAAATTTTAATCACACTCAAAAATTATAAAACAGTTAAAACGTACCAAAACAGTATCTATTCAAAACTAAACAAAGCAATCGACAGCATCAACCAGTAGAAATTATTTTACACCAATCAAATGCTTGAAAATACAAAATATAGGTAAGACTTAATTTAATAAAAATTTATTTTTACAAACTTAAATCTTATCTATAAAAACACACACAAAAACAAAAAAAAAAACTGCTAATCACCAATGCTTTAAACAGAAGATTTATACATTATTGGTTTATCTTAAGTTTGCTAAAGTATTTGATAAGGTATACTACTAATTGGTTTGCTAAAGTATTTTATAAGGTATACTACTAATTGCTAAATAAGTTTACGGCTTTTGACAAAAGATGGTAAAATCTTATCATTACTTCTTTTTAATTTATTTATCAATGAATTGTCTAAATTAGCTAACCCAATATATATAATTGTACTCTATTTTATGGAATAACCATCAATTTAAACAAAACTACACACAAACGAGACCTGGGTATCAATATAAGTAACAATGTCAAATGGAAAAACCACATCACAATGATAAGCAATAGCTAATTAGGCATATTCAACTGCACATTTAAATTCAGCAAACTCTTTTGCTAAACTATACACAACATAGTCAGACTTAAATTAGAATTTTGAACACCAGTCTGAAATCCATAATTGAATGAATACAGGCAATTTACTAAAAACAGTTACCATAAGAACAGTGTATAAATTTAAAAACAAATAAGATAATTTATTGTCAATATATATATATATATATATATATATATATATATATATATATATATATATATATATATATATATATATATATATATATATATATATAATATATATATATATATATATATATATATATATATATATATATATATATATATATATATATATATATATATATATATATATATATATATATATATATATATATATATATATATATATATATATAGTATATGTCATTGTGATGAAATTTCAACAAACTAAAAAAAAAATATATAAGGTTTTTGAAAAAATTATTTACAAGCTATTGAGTAAATCACAAACTCATTGTTAATAACTGTTGGAAAAAAAAGACACCTTTTTAGCAATAATTTATATAGGCAAAGCAATTAAAGGACAGTCATAATTTTTCTCTCTCACACACACTCTCTCTCTAAGTTAAATTATACATATATATATATATATATCAGGGTCTATTCTGGGAAAAAAAATTTGGCTGCGGTACCCCCTCATTCTGACAAACTTTAGCGGAAAATCAGCATTTTTTTTGCAAAAATCAAAATATTTGCTGTAAAAAAAGGTAAAAAAAAAAGGTCCTTAACTTTTAATTTGGGCAGCGCCCAAATACAGTCGACGCTGTCGAAAACAGTCTAGAATAGCCCTTGTATATATATATATATATATAATATATATATATATATATATATATATATATATATATATACACACACATACAGGCCTTAATTTAAATAAACACTGCTTAACGCAATAGCATAATGTGAATTTGATGTCATAAAATTCTCTTTATCTTTTTATTTTTTAAAGTCATTAACTTTTTCAAATTATTGAATAATATTAATTACCGCAATATGAGTTAAATATTATTTAACTTCTTTTTTATTATTAGTATATAGGAATATTTATTTTCTATTATTTTTTTTTTAATATTAAATAATTAAATTTAATATTACATTTTTAAAAACATTTGATATTAACAAATTTCTTTCTTTTCTTGACATTTGCAAAAATGAATAAAAATTGTTTAACTTTTGAATTTTTAAATGATTATTTCTTAAATTTCTAATTGCGGCTTTGCAACTACAAAAGATTTTTTATTTTACAAAAAATAGGGAGTAACAAATAAAAAAATTATGATAATTTATTTACTTTATTTGTTATAAGTTTATTATTTTATTAACAATTTTGTTGTAAAAGCAAAGATTATTTTTCCAAATTAACATAAATACTTTTTTTTAAATAAAAATTAAATTATATATTTTTTAAATCTAAATTAAACTAAATATATTTTTTTATCAGAATAAAATTATATTATTTTTATTAAATTAATTTAAATTAAATCATATATTTTTTATCAGAATTAAATTACATTATTCTGATCTTAAAGTATAAGCATTTTTCAATCAAAAAAATCAATCATTGCAATAAAATAAAAACAAAATAAAAATAAACTCTTAATTTTATTTGAGTTTTTTTTAAGCGCTTTTAACTAACGTAATTGTCATTCAAACTTTTGTATCAAATATTTTTACATAAACGTCATTCAAAAGTTAATGTGGTTTTTTTAAAGTTAATTATTTTATTTATCTTACCGCTTATATAATAATTTAAAAGTTAAAAAACAATAAAAAGTCACTCAACCAAAATTGCTTACTGCTTACATAAAATCACTTAAGGTGTACGTAAAACGCTCTACGCATAACGCTTTAAAACAGGGCCTGATATATATCCTATATACACTCTAGTAATATTTATATTTCAGAAACTAAACTAATAACTGAACGGATAAAATTATTGATTTTACAAATTCTCTGGTACATATATTTTACATACCCTGCATACTCACTTGTTGTATAAGTGATTATCAAATTCTCTGGTACATATATTTTACATACCCTGCATACTCACTTGTTGTATAAGTGATTATCAAATTCTCTGGTACATATATTTTACATACCCTGCATACTCACTTGTTGTATAAGTGATTATCAAATTCTCTGGTACATATATTTTACATACCCTGCATACTCACTTGTTGTATAAGTGATTATCAAATTCTCTGGTACATATATTTTACATACCCTGCATACTCACTTGTTGTATAAGTGATTATCAATTTTGATTTTGCTATAAGCTTTGAAATCATCTTTTAAAAGCATTACAGGATGTGCAACGTGAGATAACTGGGATATCTAAAATAAATTCTGAATTAAAATATGACATAAATTTTGTATAACAAAGCAAAGTATGAAAAAGTTAGTTATACTTTATTTTAGTTTAAACAATATAATGCTTAATAATAGTATGCAAAAATATTGAACATTAGGTGCATGTAATGAATAAAATCGCCTAGAGTGATAGTTCGCACTTGTAAAACTAAAACATATTATCAACAATCGCAATTATGCGTGCTCAGCATCAAGTCTTTGAGAGCAATATAGAGTTGGAAATTGGTTGCCATGGGGCCATCCATAAATTACATACGCAGTCATGGAAAGGAAGTCACACAAAAATGTACCAGTGGGTACAAGAGAAAGGGTAGACAATATTTTTTTTTGAATTTTTTTCATGTGAAGTCCGGGAAATCAGACAATTTTTTAGTAAATGCATTTGTCTATCTACTGGAAAAAATATGTTACTTCTTTGATATTAAATAAAAACAATGAAATATTGCCATTTACTAAAAGTTGATAACATAACCTTGTTTCCTTTTAGAGTTGAACCATCATGCTTGATTGCGGACATTCGAAAAAACAGAAACATTTTAAATTTAATTTAAAATAAATAAAAGTGAAAAATAAAAATAAAAGATATAAGAATATTTTATTTACTAAAGATGTGTGAAAATTTTACAAAATCTTGTTGATTAAAACTTTGATTTTTTAAAATTTTATCAAGTTTTAATTTTTTAATTTTCTATTCTCACTGGGATAATACGTTTTAAAAATATTAAACATTCCATTCTATATGCTAGCAGTAATGACTTCATAACTTTCCATTGATTGATTCTATAAAACAGAAAACTACTAATTTAAACTGAATGCGCAATTTAATTATTATCAAGTGAATAATTTTTTATATACTTGATTATCTACTTAATAAATATATGAGACTTATATAATATATTTATGCTAATATTATTATTATTATTATTATTATTATTATTATTATTATTATTATTATTATTATTATTATTATTATTATTATTATCAAACTACAACGACATCGTCATGAGAAATGGCTATATAAAGACCATTTATGGTAGTGGTAAATATGAATTTTTTATATAATTGTCATAATTGTTTTTAAAATGTTTGTTGTTTTTGAGTTTTGACAGTATACTGGCAGTTGATTCCATTTTTTAACTATCCTGTTTGTGAAGAAGTTGTACCAGATATCAGACTTATTTTGCTCTCTGGTTAGAAAGTTTTGTTGTTTTGTGCCGTGACTGTGTTTTTCTTGGGTTAAACTAGAATATAAGTTTATTTTATTTAGTCCATTTTTAATTTTGATTTGTTGCATTTGGTCTCCTCTTAATCGTCTTTCTTCCAGTATTGTCAGACCAAGGCAGCGGATCCTTTCCTCATATGTTTTACCACTAACTTCTCGGACTAATTTAGTTGTCCTTCTTTGGACTGATTCAATTGCTTTGATATCTTTTAATTTATTCGGATTCCATACTGAAGCACCATACTCCAGATGTGGCCTCACCATTGACGTGAAGAGCATATTAAAAGTAATAATGTTAATGTATTTGAATGATTTTTTAAGCTGACCCAATATACGATTTGACATTGCTATTACGGAATGGATTTGCCGGGCCCACTTTAAGTCAGCGCTGATGATCACTCCTAGGTCTTTCTCAAACTCTACCTTTAATAATTGATGCCAATTTACCTAATAATTATACTTTTGATTTGATTTGCCAATGTGAATTACTTTACATTTGTTCTCATTTAAAGACATTTGCCATGTTTCGCACCATTTTAATATAATGTTAATATCATTTTGTAAACTTATCGAATCGTTTTTATCTTTTATGATTCCAATCATTTTTGTGTCATCTGCAAAAAGTTTTGGATTATTTTTGATTTGAGATGCCAGATCAGTTATGAAAATTACAAACAGTAATGACCCTAGAACCGAGCCTTGAGGAACCCCACTAAGCACATGAAGCCAGTCTAAAATGGGGTCTCCTAGTATGACACGCTGTTTTCAATCTTTTAAATAGTTAATTATCCAGTTCAGTATCTTATTTACTATTCCGTATGCTATTAATTTTTGAATGCTTTACTAAAGTCTTCAAATACTATATCAACTGGAATGCCGTTGTCGGTAGCTTTTGTAATTAGATCATATTATTTAAGCAAGTTTGTTGTGCATGATTTTCTCTTATCGAAGCCGTTTTGATCCTTTGATATTAAACTATTTGTTGAAAGATGTTCTACTATTTTGTCCTTTATGATGCTGTCCATTACTCTACAGACCAATGATGTTATGGAAATAGGTCTGAAATTTGAAACATCCGAATGACATCCACTCTTGTGAATTGGCGTAACATTTACTAGTCTCCATAATTCCGGTATTTTACCACTATTAAACGACAACTTAAATAAGAACTAAATTGGGTTAGACAATGAATCAAAGCAGCTAGACAGTAAATGAGGATGAACTCCGTCAACGCCACATGATTTATGTTTGTTTAATTCTTTTTTTTAACCACTTTTAATGTAAAAATATTATCAGTATTGTTGTCACATTTGACATTAGTTTGTAACGGAAATTCTGGAAGCTCATTTAAATTTCCTTTGCAATATAATACATGTTAGTTTAAGAATATATATACTTTTACAAATATAATATATAACTTATATACTGACATAAATTTTGAGAAATGCATTTGTGAAACTAGTGATGCTACATTTTTTTATTTTTGAGCACGCTTCCAAAAGTTTCAATAAACAATACATAAAACAAATATATTTGTTATACATATTGTTTATTGAAACTCTTTTTTTTTTAATTTTGTTTAGCTTCAACCTTTTTTAATAAATAGACTTTAATATAAGCTTAACTGATTCGAAGATATCAGTGGATATTTTTAATTTATCAACTTAACATTTGACAAAAAATATTTGATATTCCAACGTTTTGAATTTTAGTTGATGTTTTTGAATTTAAAATATAATAGTCTTTAATTGATAGAATGTGATCAAACCTCTATAAAATCCAAGCTATAAGTGAAGCTTTAGTTTAATAAATTATAACGTTAGATATTTATTTTTAAAATATTTATAAATGTTACGCTAGATATTTTTTTTTTAAACATTGAAGTTTGGAATGTTTGTTGGAGTATTGCAAATTTTGATACCTTTATTACATGGAATTTTATGAGATTCAAAAAAAAAATTTCTAGTTAACCAAATTTTTTAGTCAAATGGCCCCTTAAATCTGTAGTTAGCAAATGGTTCGACTAAACCAGGTTACAATTAAGCGGATAATATGATAAAGTTCAACTGGAATTTAAAAAATATATATCATGCTGAAATTAGCTTTCAAATGAAAGAAATAAATCATTGGTTCTCTTGCACTGAGATTTTTAATTTGAACTTTATTATTTATAATTAAAGTACGTCACTCATAAGTTATGCGTGATGTACTTTATTATGAATATAACTTCTTTATTTAACAATATGCAAACTCAACTGTTTAAAGATATTTTGACTTTGGCAAAAAAAAATTATGCAAATACTTTTGATAAAATCAGTTTATAATTTTCTCCCTGGCAAGTTCTTCAGAGGAGCGCAATTTTTTACTCTCTTTATGAAACTAGCGAGCACTATGTGTATATATATATATATATATATATATATATATATATATATATATATATATATATATATATATATATATATATATATATATATATATATATACACACACACACAGCATGGAAAATAAGAAATCGAAGGCGAACGGTCAATTTGACTGGCTAACACATGGAAATGTTCCAAAAATATTTCCAATTAAATAAAGCGATTATTATATAACTTTATACTATTATAAAAATAATATAACATATAATTTTATTGAAATAATAATAAAATATGAACTTCAATTATTCACAAAAAAGAGGTTTTTAACCACTAGTAAAATGAAAGTAATTTAAAGAAGTGAAGCAAAAAAAAATTGTGATTTACACAAATTTGATCACAAATTTGACAACAAAGCAAGTTAAAGTAACATGTGGTAAACAATAAAACTACCTTAAAAATTTATTCAAAAATTTTAATGGTTTTATGAAATTTAAGTAAATGTTTGTTCCAAATTACATCATGATTATTTTTAAAACCTTGTTTTTCAAATCTTTAATTTTTTTTTTTCAACCGGTAAATAATGAATTTTAGCCATTACAGGCGGTCGTTGACCATTGACCATCCGTTATTTTCCACGCTGTATATAAATATATATATATATATATATATATATATATATATATATAAAACCCTTGAAATAAGAAAACCAACTGTTAAACGTCAGCATCAGTTTGGCAAAAAAATTTTGACACAAAGAGATTACCATAAAATATTGAAACAAGGTAAGCAATTTTTTACAGAATTTGCATTGCAGAATGCTGACCCTAATTTCGAGGGCTGCAGCCTTAGCAGATGTTAATTTTGCAATCAATTTGATATATGGTTTCTAAGAAAGATCCAAGTAAGAGTTAACCCTTAAAATTGACCCCTATTCCAAGGGCTACAACCTTATCAGTTGCTAATTTTGCAATCAATTTGATATATGGTTTTTAAGAAAGATCCAAAATAAGAGTTAAGTTAATAAAGAAGATGATGTTTTAAGATGGTAGTTTCATCAACTACATTACCATTCATAAATATAGAAAGATCTAAATTATTGCGTTAACAATTGACTGAAAAAAATTGGGTTTTATCTGAATTAAAGTTCACCAGCCACTGAGAGCCCCATGCTGTAGCAGAAGGGAGATCCTAATCAAGCTCAAATGCCCCCTCCAAGTAATCAGAGAGTGTTGGCTTCTTATCAAGACAAAAATAAATGGTAGTATTATTAGCAAACAATTCCACTTTAGATTTGAGAATATCTGGAAGATCATTAATGTAAAAATTAATCAAAAAATTTCAAAGATTGTGTGACGTAATTTATGAACCCCTAATCTGTATAAAACTTTTCATATATATACTAAAAAATAGATAAGGAATCTAATGGAATGTGGACATATTTTAACATTTGTACATGTTTTAGTTCTAAGCATTTAAAAACTTTAAGGTTAATTTATATAGAAAAAACAGTTTTTGAAAGAAACCATGTGAAAATGGCATTTATAGCCTTTCCTCAATTTAAAACATGTATTTATTTATGTTTCCTTGAAAATTTGGAACTTAGGATTTGTGTATAAAAATTAAGTATATAATGCTTTTTTCCTAGTGGGTATCGTTTGTCATGATTTTTGCACTAGACTTTTTATGTTTTTATATTTTATTTTAATGCCAATAAACAGCAAATTTTAAATAATAAAGGATGAGGCAATTTGTCAATCAAAATCATCAGTTTTTCTAGCACAAAAAATGCAATAACTCCGGATAAGTTATAAAACATCTTATTTTTTAAGTTTTTTTTGGCTCTATACAACCATGTTAATCTCCTTTTTTGACCCTAGACAATGCAACAATAACTTAGATGGAAGGAGAACATGAAACGGTATACTGATATCAGAGCATGTTGGGAAACATATGATCATATTTAAGACAACATACTATTAGCTTGTGAGAGTTTTTTATTTAATTGAATAAGATGCTACTACCATGATAGACTTTTGTTCCAAAAAACATGCATTATTGTATTCAGAAATATTATAGTTTTATGATAACTATCAAATTTATTAACAAAAAAAATTAGACACAAACAATGTTAATAGAAACATATTATTATTGATATATAAAATTAGGAAGTAAATTTTATCGTAGAAAAAATTTAAAAGATATTGGTTTTCAAAACAACTTTATTTCTAATTTCATTTAAAAAAAATTATAAAGCTATAATACCGATTGACTAACACCCCACATTAAAACAGCCATTCTTGGATCCTTAGCTCTGAACACTTTTACTTTTTGATGGAAAGCCTTCACCTTTTTTCTTTTAGATTTCGTTTTAGTAACAGATTTCTTTATGTTATTCATTTCCTTATGCAGTAACTTTACAAAAATGATATTCTGTAATTTAATTGTAGGTAGAAAAACACGAACAAGTTTGCTCACTTCTTTTCAATATTTCTAATTGATAAATACGTCTTCTTCGGGTGTTTTTGTTATTTTTATTATTTTACGGCAACAACTTTCGCACTTATAATCCAGAGTAAAGAGGTTATAATTTATAGATTTTGCCGTTAATCTGCAGCTGCATACGGAAGTATAATTTTGATGAGTTTCACTTCATTTTGAAAATTAAGTAGTTTTATTTCAAAGTTAAGCACCTTTTCAAAATCAAATTTTTATCATGACGTCGAATGCGTCATGTTTGTGTTATGACAATATGTCAATTAAATTATTATTAAATTTAATCAAGTAATTATTAAAAAAAAATTATTTTTATATATTAAAAAATAATCAGGTTTATATTAAATCTCGTTATTTGAAAAAAAATAACTTTTATTTTAACGATTTAAAAACTTAATAACGTGAAAAAAAACAAAAGTTAAATATAAAGAAGTACGTAAGTTGTATAAAGTTTAAGGAAATTTATCTTTTTTTTTTTTTTGAAGTTATTAAAGTGCTCCCGCGACTCCTTGCGGTCTTATCGCGGTGCGTTGCGGAAGAACTTTCTTTGGTATACAAGGGAAATGCACTAAGTTCAAAACCATCCTTTTAAAATGATGATGGACGACAAAGTAACTTGATGAAGAGTTCATATCAAGTGAACTCCAATCAAAACTTTGTCGGCGTACATTAGTTAGGTAAACCTAACAAACAGTATGTTTTACAATACTGTGTGCTTTCTTTATGCTATCTTTCTTACTCGACTACTTCTGCCTTTCACTCTAACATATCTTCGTTCTTCCCAAACTCACCTTACCCTCGGTCCGTAGAGCAGGTTATGACGTTCGTTGGGGAGCCGAACTTGTCTTTGCGGGCCATGGTAATGTGGCCTCTATATGGCAATTACCCGGAAAAGGATAAACCACAATACCAAAAACATCATTTTGAGATAAAGAACAAAGAAGCTTTTGTGTTTTTCTTTTCCTTCTAGGAACCAAACGAAAGGAAATATATACCAATTTTTTTACAAGGCAAAGATCAATTTATATACTAAAGATTTAAAAAAAAATTCACATTTAAAATTTCAATGTACTAGCCCAAAACAATGAAACAACATAAAAAGAGATGGAGTTTGTTGTTTTCTCCTGTTAAAAATTAATTGGTGCATTTTACCTGGTAAAAAATTTGCACTTGATGGCTTTGCTGATAAAAAAAGGAGTTAGCGTATTTCTCATGTACGCAATGCTTTCCTTTTTTGAATGTTAACACTTTGTGTTTGGAGTAAAAGGTTTATTTTAAATGATAAAATTTAAATATTCTAGAATAAATAATTTATTTATTCACAGAAAAGAAATGATAGTATTCGTACTACTGAAGAGTCAAGTCAATTTTAATATTATAAATGTAAATTTAATAAAATAATACTAAAAAGAAATTATTTTACATTACTAATCTTATTCTTTATCATCAAAAATGTCATCGTCGATAAAATCCCTCGGAGTAGATGATGTGGGAAGATTCTCATACCGCGGACGAAGCTCTTGAAGAAAGACTTTTTTTCTGCAAAGTTTTAATAGACCATTTTTTTACTGTACTCAAATTAGAAGTTTTTTCCTATACAACGGCAAAATAGATGTGTCTTTTAGGACTGTTTTCTGCAACTGCTTCTTTGATGATGAGTTGAGAGCGATGTTTTTATATTCGTCATTATATCAATATTTATACTGAATGATACCAGGAAATTGTTTTGCATACTTAAGACATTTTATTTTCAACCAGTTAACGTCATTTCCATCATCATTCTTTTTCCTATTTCCTATTGTAAATTGAAATAAATTCTTGAGGTCCAAAAAATCATTAAATTGCAATCCTGAGTGTTGTACGGTAGTTGACCTGTCTTTGACCTGGCCACCTTGAAAATGTTTTAAATTTCATGTACACTAAAAATTTCAATATGTTTTTTTTCTTTTTAATGGCGCTGTGCATTCAGTCCACTTTCATAAAGAAATTGCCACACTCCAAAAACCTCTGTTCAATAGCATTTAATGAAGGATAGTTATTAAAGTGTATAATAGTAAAGTTAAAACTCGTTTCTGTTTTGCCTTTCACATGTGTCTGAAAACATTGGTGTCTGAAGTCAGAGATTTCAAATAAAAAGATAAAGATGTTCCAATTTCTGAGCTTCCGCGTTTTCCATTTAATTCCGTCCAAAAATAGCAAAATGCATTAATTGGTAGATTTGCCTCATACACCATAAAATTGTAAAGGTTAATTTTACCCAAGTAATACGGGTCAGGGTAACAATATCAGTTTTTGCTATGCCTAATAACATCTGTCCAACAACATCTGTAAATATAATTAGGTATAATAACATCTGTTTAAAAACACCTGAAATTTCATTGATGTCTATTAACATCTGTTCTACAACACCTGAAATTTCATTGTTGTCTTATAACATCTGTGAAAAAATTAAATGAATATCACAGATGTAGTTACATCTTTTAAATAATCAAAGTGTGATAACATCTGTGCAACTACATTTTTGGATTTAACAAATGTAGTTACATCTTTTACATTATCAAAGTGTTATAGCATCTGTGCAACTACATCTTTAGATTTTACAGATATAATCACATCTTTTAAGTTGTCAAAGTGTAATAACATCTGTGCAACTACATCTTTGGATTAAGGATGAAGTTATTTTTAATATGAATAAAATAATGCATTATTTTAACAAGGTGTAGTTACATATAAGATTTTTTTCAGATGTAATTACATCTGGAAAGATTTTTTAACTAATAATGCATTATTTTAACCAGATTTTACATATAAAATTTTTTCAGATGTAACTACATTTGGAAAAAAATATTAACTAATAATGCATTATTTTAATCATATGTAGTTACATATAGGATTGTTTCAGATGTAATTACATCTGAAAAAAACATTAACTTATAATGCATTATTTTAACCAGATATAGTTACATATAGAAATTTTTTCAGATGCAACTATATCTGGAAAAAATTCTTCCAGATGTTATTGGACTTAAAGAAAAATTGTAGTTACATCTTTTTAAAGATGTTGTCAGGGGTCATTGAATTTTCAGATGATATTGGACAGATGTTATTAGAGTAAAAAAAAGGTACAGATGATCTTGAACAAAAGTGTACAGATGATCTTGGACTATTCCACATATGTTCTTGAACAGATATAATAATCTTTTACCAGTAATACAATAGGCTTACTGCTGAAGAAAGAATTTGGAGTACACTTTGAAGATCACATGTGACAGTTTTAAATTCCGTATCTTCCGATGCCCTTTTTTTTGTCTTTTACTTTTTCGATCATACATAGTGTCTATAAATATTGGCGTTTTATAGATTTGCTAGAATAATGGCTTTCCATAACAGAAAAACTTTTAATGTGTTCTATTACACTCTCTTTCATTTCATCAGAAATTTTATTTTTTTGAGTATTTTGTTGTCTTTCGTTTATCTTTTCCATCATATTGTCAATTGCTGCCAATATTTTTGAAGGCATTGATCACTTGAAAAACATAATGTTTTTAAAAACAAACTTTGACATATTTGTACTGTTGTGTCACTACTATTAACAAAACCATATTTTCTAGACTGAATTCTAGTGACATTGCTATTGTCAATGCTAGATTTTCTTCTTTTATGAGTGTTCATCTTGGCAAAAGATTACGAACCATGTTCGTAATCTTTTGCCAATTGCTTTTTCTTTTGGTACTAACGTACTCCATAGAGTTTTTTCTCTTTTTCTTTTAAATATTTCTATCCCAGAATGATTCATCTGATTTTTTCCATCTTTTTCTTATGTTAGGTCTTTCATATTTGATATCTGTAATTATTTAATGAAATGTCTTGGTTGCTTTATTCACATTACATTATCCACAAATATAGTTGTTATCTAACGATTCTGGACTTAAAGGTACGGAAACTAAGAGTCATCGATCTTAGACAAATTGCATAAGCATTCTAGCAAAATTTGTCTTTTCCTGTGTTGGATTAATTTTCATTGATTCTATGGGTACACTAGTAGTCGAGGCTGATTCCAAACACGTGCATATTTTTCCGCTTCGCCCATCTTCAATGTCTTCTAATATTTATGCGGTTCTCGGAGACACAGAAATTGCCATATTGTTTCCCATTTACAAATCACATTTTCAGGGTAACTTTCATATGTACTGTAGGTTATCTGAAAAAAAACACAATTATTAACTCATTAAATATTATTTAAATATTATTAAATATCATTAAACTTATTAAATATGTGCAAACAAATGTTATTTAATATAGCCAATGGTCAATAAAGGCAAATTATTTTACATACCGTCCATGTTATTTGGTTCGTTAATATTCACTGTTAAAAAATTCGCCGTAGATTCAACGGAGAATGTTCGGCAGCAAAGTGACAGCACTTTCTCCGTAAAAGTTAACAGTTTCCATAGTTTCCATTTTCCGTAAAAATCAACGGAATATATCCGTTAAATAAGACAGAACTTTCTCCGTAAATTCACGGTTTCCGTATTTTATTTTTCCGTACAAATTAATAGAGAAAGTCAGGCAGCAAAGAGACAGCGCTTAAAATTGCAACATGAGTTTTACAACCTAGATGGCTTTTTTTTCAAGTTTATCTAGCGCAAGACTAATTTCTTTAATCAGGTATTACTTTTAAAGCAATATTTATACTTTTAAAGCAATATTTCAATTGAGTATTGCTTGGCGCCTTCAGGTTAATTTTTGAATATTTTACTTGAATAGCCTATGGCTTAGTTTATCTAGCGCAAGACTAATTTCTTTAATCAGGTATTACTTTTAAAGCAATATTTATACTTTTAAAGCAATATTTCAATTGAGTATTGCTTGGCGCCTTCAGGTTAATTTTTGAATATTTTACTTGAATAGCCTATGGCTTTGTTGATGCAGCAAAAATTTTATATAAGTTATTTAATGTAGTTAAATAATTCTGTCTTTTAATAGTATTTTTAACACTATCATTTATAACTAAATTGATCTTATGTCAACCACACGGCATATACCATGCTTTGTTGTTCGACTTTTCACACTCTTATATTCTCCTTTCATATTGCTTATTCGCCATCTGCGTTTTTCTTAATTGAAAACATCTAAATTGAGATTATCTATTACTGTTCTGTGTTTAATGTTAAATTCTAGAGTTCGCCCTTTATGCGTTGGTTCAAGATGTTTCTTCGAAGACTCAAGTTCAGATATTCCTATTCCTGTATGGGAATAATCAGAAAATCCACTTGAAGTTAAGCCTATCTTATTTGATGAAAACAACCGACAACAGAAGCAGAAACTTTTTCCTGTCGAGTTAGAATATAAAAGCCAAATTCTTAATTTTTTTTTTTACCATTTTTTTATTTGTCGGTAAAAAAAAGTGTCACTGAAACATCTTCCTTGAGAATTTCTTTTATTATGGATCTTTATATTTTTTGGTGACTGCTTTACCAAAAACAACCCTTGTTTTTTGTCGATTTCAACAGGCCGTGTTGCAGGATCTAATATATCATAATTACATTTTACACATTTAAGTACCGCTCTCCGTTTGCAAATTACCAATAAACTTTGAAGTCTCGTTAGATATAATATCCTCAATAACGACACTATTGGATCCTGATTCACCATCACCATTCTTGTTCTGGATATCAATGTTTTAAAGTTGTGGCTCGTTCATACTTTCTTCAACATTATCATTTTCAAATTAAGATTTACCATTTAAATTGCATATTTTGATTAAAGTAGTGTTCGAAACTGACGAACTTTCGCCCCGTTTAAAAAATTTATCTAATGATCCAGCAAGGCTATTTAATTCTGCTACTTTCCGGATCTGTTTCGCTCTTTTTTGTGGGCCGCTTTCATAACATCTTTTCGACATTTGAGATAATTAAATGTTGTATGTAAATTTAAATTAAACGACAAGTGAGTTTAAAAATGTTAACAAAACTGTTTAAAAATTAAATAAAAACTAGCAATTTGAAACAATAAAGCAACAGAACTATTAGGTATATTTGAAAAATATTATTTGTCAAATTATTAAATCGTTATCAAATTATTCAAACTTTTTTTGTTTCCTTTTGATTGATTTTTAGATTAAAACTTTTCCAAAGGGAAATTTTGAACGGAATTTCATTTTCATTTAAATGGAGTTTCATTTGATTGCGTATGCAAAATTAGGAAATATTTCTTAAACTTATAAAAAAATAATTTTCTAATCGAAAAGTAATTTAGTACTAAAGATTCTTAAGATTTGGCTTCTAGCGCTAGTTTCTTATAAATAAGTTTCAGATTAGAAAAACGTATTTTTAATATTTGGGACCCCTTAAATATCGGGGGCCCAGTGCGATTGCACTTGTTGCACTTGTAAAAGTACGGCTCTGACTAATGTCATACAAACTTAAAAACCTTTTTATTTAACTCTAAAAGGTCCATCTTTAAATATCATCTTTAAATATCATCTACACGAAGAATACAGAGAATTTACTAAATACAGTTACTGCAGAAAATTTCTTTAGCAAGCGGATGATTCCATATTGGAACAATTTACTGATTAACTTAGTAGCCTCAAAAACAGTTGATGCATTGAAAAAAAAACGATGTCTTATCTCATAACAAATAATTAACTAAATTGCTACTATAGTAGGGCTACTATAATCTTACTCTGCAAAGATTTGTAATATCTATGCTGTTAGACATAAATAAATATATGATGGAACATTATTTTAAATATATTTTTTCTTTACATTTTAATTTTTTGAAATATATTAAATAACTAAAATATTCATTTTTTAGTTATTTAACAAAATGCCAAAGTAACAAAAATATTGAAAAGTGCAATTCAATTTTTTGCATCTAACTGCACCTTGAGTGTCAATGCAAAAGTTGCGCATAAAATCCAGATATACAATTTTTTTTATGTAACAGGAAATGAATATTGCAAAGTTTGTTAACGTAGCTAATAAACAAATAAAACGAGTCGATTATCACAGTAGTTTATTGAAATGCAATTGAAATTTTACTCAAACATTTTTTTACACAAATCATAACTATAAAGCACAGAGCGTTTTCTTTTTACAATCTCTTAACTTGATTTTTTTTTTACTTTATCTATTTACTTTTTCAAAATTTATTTTAGATAATCGTAATCAGTAATATTTTTTATCAAAAAACTACGGGTTTTGGGCTTGTTTTCTTCAAAGTGGAGGACGAGTCATTATAATAACAATACATATATATAACAATACATTATAAAAATAAGTACTGTCATAACGTAGTAAAATAGAAAATTAATAGTTTACGCTACTTAAATATTTTGAAAAAGGCTTGTAAATAAGATAGTATGACTAAACTTTTTATTCCGAATTCTTTAAAATTTTTAAATTGGAAGTGGCCTAAATAAATTTTAATGGAAACATTTTACTTGTTGCGCGGCAGCCTATGATAACAACAGTTAGTTTTTTTTTTTTTTTTTTTATAAACGATATACGTTGCATATTTTTAATCTTTACTTCATTTGATTAACATTAAATATTTATATTAACACTTTATGGAGATGGAAACAAGTCTTGTTGAGGAAGATGTATGTTCTGAGCATTTAAGTGATAAAGAAATCGAGGAAAAACAAAGAAATAAAGATGATGACGGTGGCGATGTTAAGGTATTTTAAATTGAAAGCACGTTACAAAATCATAATATATTTTTTTGTGAAGAGCATAAAAATCATATAGTTATTACTCATGCTTAAATTAAATGAAAAAGAGAATATTTAAAAATGGATACCAATAGTATTACCATATATTAAAATTATACTTATTATGCCATAATTTTATTATACCATAATTTATGGTATTACCATATAATATATGGTAAAATATTTGGCAATATTATGGTATTACCATATAATATATGGTAAAATATATGGCAACACACACATAACCAATATATAATATATTGGTTATGTGTGTGTGTTGACAAAGATTTTTTAATGATTTATTTTTTTCTAATAATTTTTCTAATAATTAACATTTTTTAATCACGATTGATAAAGATTAGTTATAAAAGAGTAATAATTATTATAAGTGGTTTTATATTTGAGTATTATATTATAGTATAATAATATTATGAAATTCTATTAGTTATAGAATTTTAGTTTGTAGTCCAAGTTCTATTTAAGTATTACTTCAAATTCTTCATTCAAAAGTATTTTTGGTAAAAATTTTGCAATAATTTAAATTAAAAAATAATACTATTAAATTAAGAATTAATACTACTTTTTCTTAATTTAAGTTTTGGCAAAACAATCTAAATGAAAAAAAAAATAAAAAAATAAAAAAATAAAAAGTTATTCTAGAAATTAAAATTTCAAGTAATATATAGACAGAAGTTGAAGTAGACTCAAATTTGCAAGAATCAAAAATGTGTAGATAAAAACTATTATAAAACAATATTTAAAAAATATTTTTCATTGTATATTATCATTTATTTTTTGTTATGCACTATTTTGCTTCATAGCATAAATAAAGAAGGTATTTCATTTAGATATTCCAGTTTAGTTTTCGTAAACTATGGGCATTTACTGGACCAGGATTTCTTATGAGTATTGCATACTTGGATCCAGGAAACATTGAATCTGACTTAAAACAAGGCGCTGTGGCACAATATAAAGTAAATTTAAATTATTAGTTCATCATCATCATCATCATCATCATCATCATCATCATCATCATCATCATCATCATCATCATCATCATCATCATCATCATCATCATCATCATCATCATCATCATCATTATCATCAATTATTATGATAAAAATGTGTTTTTACTTTTAGCTTTTATGGGTACTTTTGATGTCAACATGTATGGGATTGCTTATGCAGGTTTTTTTATACATCTTATAATTAAGATTTTATGAAAGTATATAGTATATATTCCAAAATTAAGAAAATAAAATAACAACTTTAAAAAATAACATATTTTTTTTTAAAGTTCATTTCAACTAAATAAATTTAAATTTGGAATTAACTTAAATCAATGTAATAAAATTTTTTTTAGGTATTAAAATTAGGTATTAAAAAAAGATTATAGATAGAAATGCTACTATTTGTTAAAAATATATTAAAAAAAATATTATTTGGTTAAAGTAAAAAATTTAATTTTTATGATAAGATATAATAAAATTATTATGATTTAAAATTGTGACTTGATAAAACACTAACAAGCATTGAACCATTTTCTTCATACTAGGTAGCACCAAAGGTGTTTATTTCATGCTAGGGAAGGTAGTAAGTGACGAGGGTTGACATTTGACCGGGGCTGGGGCTGGGTTTGATAAAATATAGCCAGGGCCGGGTTTGTGACCAGAGCTGCATAAATATTTATACATCCTCAAGTATATTTTTTTATTCAAAGTTCATATTATATTTTGTATATATATATATATATATATATATATATATATATATATATATATATATATATATATATATATATATATATATATATATATATATATATATATATATATATATATATATATATATATATATATATACAGAGGTGTACCGGATATGGTTTTTTACATATCTGGCTGGATACGGATATGACGGATATAAATTTATATATCCGGCCGGATATACTGGATATACCAGATATGTTAAATATTGTAAAAGAGTAAGAGGGGACAAGGTTTTTAGAGGTGCACCTCTAAAAACTATATATATATATATATATATATATATATATACTTTTAACATTTTTAAGTTATTTTAATTTTATTTGTTATTATTATATTATATTATTATATTATATTATTACATTATTTTTATTTGTAAAAAAGCCTATACTTTTTTCTTCAAAAGTTTTCATTTCTTTTTTTCTTTTTCCAAAATTTAGAAGTGATTAGTAAATTATAGTGAAAAATTAGTGAGCAATAGTGATCAAATGTTCATTCATTCAAAGTTAAATTTGTGTGATTACTATTAGAGTTAAATAATATATTACAGTATATTACTTCACTATAATACTTAATTTTTACTTTTATTAATTAAATTACTTAAAACAGTTAATTCCTAATTGTTATAAAAGTATATACATACTTGAGATAAGAGATAATCTCAAAAATTGCATATCCGGCTATATCCGGCTGGATATATGATATATCCGGCCGGGTATATGATATATCTGGCCGGATAATGGATACCGGATTATCCGGCATTTTTGCTGGATTATCTGGCCAGATATCATATCCAGTACACCTCTAATTTGATTAACAGGATGATAGAAATGCTTTGCTGTCATTAAATCAGTCAGAAAAAGGTGGATATGGAGAAAGAGAAGCTAATACAACTTTTCCTGAATGGCAGCACAAAAATGAGTTTAATTCAAAAACTTTATTGCACCACAATACAATAGGATTATCTCTTTCATTTCGAAGACAATTCATCTCAGCTAGCCTAAGCTTATCTCTTTTATTTTGACGACGGTTCAATTCATCTCGCCTAGTCTGGTTTCTTTCATTTTCTTTTTAATCAAAAAAATACAAGTTGTTAACAAAAAGGAACAGAGTATATATCATTTCAATAAAATTTACTTAAAATTATGAATATTAGAAAGATTATAGATACTAAAAAACTATATATCTTTTCATTCTTTCTTTTAAACACATTCTTTTAACAATATCTTTTTAACACATTTATTATTACACTAACTATAAACAGATTTAATTTATGTGTTTCATCATGACAGTACAACAATTTATTGGCACGGACAACATTCTTGCTCTCAACAAAGCCAAGTCTCATTATAGCAAAGTACACCACCTGGCTAGCAAGGTCAACACTCCTGGTGTAAACTAAGGTTACAACAATTTGAAACCATGCAAACAACATAATAACCACTTAAAAACTAAACACATAACATTATAACACATCACAAACATAGAAACATTTCATATATAAAAGATATTTACACACTTACAAAATATAAACCCATATAACCTTAACACATATAAACACATAATAAATAACATACAAATATAAATAAATATACAAATTAAGAAAAATATCAAATTAGAAACAATACAAATACAACCTTATTTTTGCAATATTTGTTTAATGACATACCTCGTAATAAATGTTTAACAACTTTAAAAAAACAAACAATCAAACGACCTGATTTTTTATATTATAAAAGCAAACTTTTTTTTTTAAACTTCTTTAAAATTAGTTATTAAATGATCTTCTTTTTTAACATGTAATAAAGAGTTGACCTTGTGAGATGCAAGAGTTTTGTAGATAAACATTAACTTTATTAAGAGTTTGACCTCTTGACCTTTGAAAAGACCAACGTTTTCTAAAGTCATCATTGTATTCTAATTTAAAAATTACAGATTAATATACTTTAAATACAATTGACAGAGGACTTGAATTGTGTTATTATTATAATGCATGAATTAAATAAATTACCTGACTTTAAAAGTTACTTTACTAATTTAAAAATAACATAAGGTTTACTCCTTACTACAGAAGTAGTCATCAAATTAAAAAATTGTTGATCTTATTACTAATTGAGCTGATGAAGCAAAGTTTTCGATTTTATCACTGATTAAGCAGATATTAACAGATTATTAAAATTTAAGAGTACCTAATTGTTTGGTCAAATAATATATAAAGAGAAATATTAAAAGGCGAAACATGCTTATAAAACTCTGTGTAAACATGCACGAATGTTTAACAACAGTATTAAGTTAAGCAATACTATATAGTGATAAATGAATGTTTTATTTAATATCTAAATAAAATAATTCATACATTAAAGCAGGGGTCGAAATAAGTGCCGGACATCGCCGCCCTTCAGACCATTTTTGAGACCTGCTAGATGAGGGCAACAAACCATTGTTTATTTTTGCAGTAAAAATGAACAATGGTTGGTTGCCCTCATCTAGCAGGTCTCAAAAATGGTCTTAGGGGCAGCGATTTCCGGCATCTATTTTGACCCCTGCATTTTATGGTAAAAATCAAAGACAACCACGTTTCTCTTTCTCTTTTCTATATAAACAATAATGGGCACTACTACATGATAATGAATTTTAGTAGATAACACAAGAGCTTGCGTCTCTTGTACCATCTATTAAAATTCATTATCATGTTACTCGTCATTCAATTAAGTATCATCCTTTTACTGTAACTGTTCCTAGGTGTTTTAAAAATTCTTATTTGTTATATTTTTTTACTCAAACATCAGTTCTTTGGAATTCGCTCCCTTCATCTTGTTTTACTTATTCATATAATTTGCAATCTTTTAAGTTGTTTGTTAATCGTTATTTTGCTCTATTAACTCTTTTCTCTTCTAGTAACTTCCAAATCTAATAGTGGTTGCTTGCAGCCTAGTTGAAAGTGAAGATGTTGCAAAAAAAAAAAAAAAAAAAAAAAAAAATCAAAATATATACATTTTAGCTGTTATTATAATCATACTTCAAAAACTACAGCATAAAGTTCAATAACATAATCAAAATTATAAAAATATGCATCTTTTTGCACTTCAAAACAAAAGTTACTAATAACAACTAAAATAAAAGACTTTCGTTTCGGCATTATTTTTGTGGAATGAAAAATAAAGTGCATTAGTTTTACTTGACATTTTAAATTAAAAAAATTATTTATTGCTAATTGCAAAGATAGATAAATAGCTAGCAAGCAAGCAAAAAGAAAATTAAGCAGCGGTTGTTATAAAAGTAATTGGATTGACGCTACTGAAATAAGCAAAGAAATGACCAAATCGTCGATTATTGAACCTTGCATATCCTATCTTCAATGCAGCCACACATTTTTTTTGTCTTGGTTTTTCTGTTTGTATGTCCACATACTATTGGTGCTGAAAAAACCAAGGGATTGTAATGGACTGTTAATAAAGTATATGGTCAAATAATTGAAATAAAAACAACAATCAATGAGATAAAAGCTTTTGTTAATAAACTATTAGCTACACATGAGAAAACTTTTAAAATTATTTCTCAATCCGAAAATCAAGCCATAGAGATGTTTAGTTGGAAATAGCAGATCAATTTATTAAGCAAAGATATTAATTCTTTTAAATCACTACTGTGTGATTTGAAAGAAATAATATCTTTGCTTAATAAATTCAATGGCACCAGTTATTAATTTTAAGCTAATTATAGTAGTAGTAGATAAATATATTTTTGTGATTATATTTAGGTATTAGCAGCTAGATTGGGAACAGTTTCTGGGAAACATTTAGCAGAGCTATGTTATGAAAATTATCCAACAATACCACGCATTATTTTATGGGTGATGGTTGAGATAGCAATTATTGCTTCTGATATGCAGGTATGAGGGTTCTATTCTTTAAAAAAAACAAAAAAATTAAAAGTTGTTTTGAAAAAACTCAAAATCAATAAATATTTTATAAAAACGAATACTTTTACGCTGCACTTATTTAGGTTTTTTTTAAATAAAGTTATAAATTTTTTCAGTAAAAAAATGTTTTATTGAAATATATTTTATATAAAAATTTGTTTTTTAGATTAAATAGTAAAAAAACTAATAAAATGCCACCGAAAAAAAAATTTAGAAGTAATAAGTTGGATGAAATATTTTTAGTTAAAAATTTAATCTTCAAACTTCCAGCAAAGAAATTTGCGACTGCTAAAGAGGTAATTCAATATTATCTCTTTCTACGAAAATCAAAAAGTGAAGCAAAAGTAAAGTGCTTAGTAGGTTGTCCTAACAAAAGTTCTTCTTTTATACCTAACTGCCCAGTTAATCAGTCTGCATACTATCTAAACTGATGCATACTATCTAAACTGATGGATCCTTGGATACTTGGTGGATTTAAAGTGCTTACAACACAAAAGCTAAGGTAACTTTTATTATTGCATTCTAAATCAGTTTAATTTATAAACCTTTATACAAGTTAATATTGTTTTTAAAGAATTAAAGTTGAGAAGTTGTTAAAGGAGTGGGTGAAATTAAAAGATAAAAGAAACAGAACAAATCTTGCTGAAGTAAAAAAGAGACACTTATTTGAAGAACAAATGAATTAAGAATTTTGGATTGGAGAACATCCTCATGTAATGTTTGGGGAAATACTAAAAGATAAAATGAGAAGAGTGAAAGACAAGGAAGAAGATATTGCTTTTTTAAAAGACCAACTTGGGGAAAGGAAAGGATGTCTTGGAGATAGAGATAAAAGATACGAGTATTCTGTTGAAAGAAATAAAAGAAGCAAATCAAATTTAGAAAAAAAGCTATTAGCAGAGTTAGATACAAATGATTTAGATTATCTAAGTTCTTCTAGTTACACTTTGGAAAATTTAGTCCAAGAAACACTAGTTACACTTTGGAAAATTTAGGCCAAGAAACAGATATCGACTTTGATATTAATGAGATTCCTAATATTCAAAATTCTGTTCTTCTTCCTAAAAATATACTTGAGTCTACCGCTCATACAGCAGTTGGGGAGGGTATAACACTGCACCAACATATAGCTTTGATTGGTAGTGTTATTGTCATGACTGGTGGCTCTGTAGCAAACTTTAGATGTTCTAAATCCACATCTTATAGAGCTGCAGAGAACATAATATCTGCCGGAGCAAAAGAAATAAGAGAATATATAAAAAACACTGTAGTATCATCGAACTCACTAATGACCATACACTTTGATGGAAAAATAGTAAATGAGTTAACGGCCAGAAAGCAATTAAGAAAAGATAAAATTGCAGTTTTGGTGAGGATTGATGGGAAAACAGAACTACTTGGCATTCCTCCAATAGAATCTAGTTCAGGGGATAATCAAAAGCAAGCAATTTTTGAATTAATGGAGTTTTTTGGATTAGAAGATAAAGTTCAATGTCTCTGCTTCGACACAACTTCAGCAAATACAGGAGTTTGGCAAGGTACTTGCATGAGATTAGTTTGTCAAATTCAACGACCATTGTTGCTGATTGCATGTAGACATCATGTAATTGAGCCTCACATAACTCATTTCTGGAAGATTTGCCCAAGCAGCAAAACTTCTGGTCCAGAAAATAAGCTATTTGAACTTCTAAAAAAAAATTGGAACTGTATAGATACTGAAACTAAGGAACTGAAAAGAATATTAATACCACTTGGAACATGGATATACACTCAAAAATTAGTTGCTATTGAGTTTTGTAATAATGTGATCAATTTGAAGATTTTTAAAAAGGTGCTATTGTAATTTTGATTTCTATTTATTTTAAATATTTAAAAGAAACAATTGTAACAAATTAAAAATATATTAAAATATTTATTAGGATGGAAACATTAGAAAAGAATACCAAGAGCTAGCTGAACTTACTCTAATGGAACTATCGTCAAATAGGTTTAAATTTCATTTACCGGACCAGTTCACCATTCAAGATTCATGGGAAAAGGTTTTATACTATTTAAAATTATATCTATTAATGAATGAAATCTCAAACCTCACTGACAAAGAAAAAGAAGAAATAACTGGTATGGTTTTATTCATTTCCCTATTCTATACAGAGTGGTTTCTAATGTCAGAGCTAAGCTCTTTAGCACCAGGACAAGTATATGGTCTTTTAGTATTTTATTGAGAAGTTGGAAAGCTTGTTATTGATTAAAATGATTCAAAATATTTATTAATATTATTTACTAGGATGTGAAAGCTTACTGGCAAATGAAAAGGTTTGAAGAATGGAATCTACTTGGCTCCCAAGCTGTTGCGAGCTCTATTCTCAGACATACTTGGTATTTAGATCCCACTTTGGTAGTTTTCGCCCTAGCTGATGAAAAATGTATGGAACGCAGTGATATGGCCAAGAAACTGTATAGTTTATCAAGATTTCCAAATGAAAATTTCCCTTTGGAGCGCCAAATAATGGACCAATTTGTATTGAAAAGTCTTAACTTCCGTAAACATGAGCCTCCCAGTTTAGCTCCATTAATAACAGACAAGTTGTGGCTAATTTTTGACATGTTTAGACATGGAAAGGCAGAAACTCAATGGATGAAGACACCTCCAGAGTTTTGGAAATTCAATGATTTTTATCTAGAATTTAAAGCAACAGTCATAGGACTTGATGTTGTTAATGACTTCTCTGTAAGGGCGGTTAAATTAGTTTAAGACCTAATAAATAGAGCATATTCCGAGGAGAAAAGGCAGGACACCCTTCTCTTTACAAATAGTTACAAGAAAAACAGAAAAAGTAAAAAAAAAATTTATTACAAAAAGGCCGCTAGCAGAAAGAAAATCTAATTGTTGTTTTTATTAAAAAATTTTAAAAATCTTTGTTTTAATTAGATAACTTAAATAAAGATGATCATTTATTTACTGGGATTTCAATTTTAAACAAATTTTACTTTTGGTTTGAAGTTTCTTGTAATTTTATAAATTTTTAATTTTTTTTTAGTTTGAGAAAAAAAAAATTGTTTTTGTTTTTTTGGTTTTGACTATTTCATTGCATTTTGTTTCATTCCCAATCTTTTCAAACCCTCTCTTTTTTATATTTCCTAGAATAAACCCTGCAGCTAAATACAATTGAATTTAATATAGTTCTGCATAAAAACCTAATCCAAAATAAAACCTACTCAAGATTTTTTTTTTAATGTTTATAGGTTTTATAAAATCCAAAAAATCCTAAATTTAAGGTTTTTCAAAACAAGTTTTAATTTTTTTTTTTTTTTAAAGAACAGAACCCGTTTTATTTAGATTAAATAGGTCTTTAGAAACAGAAATATTAAAAAAAAATTCAAAAATTTAAATTTTAACACTTCCTCCAAACTGTTTTAAAAATGGTACAAAACGCTATAAAACTATATACCCTTAGGATTTTCAAAAAAAAAAAAAAAAAAATCCTTAGTACTAAATCATGGTCTGGTCTGGGCTATATATATATATATATATATATATATATATATATATATATATATATATATATATATATATATATATATATATATATATATATATATATATATATATATATATATATATATATATATATATATATATATATATATATATATATATATATATATATATATATATATATATATATATATATATATATATATATATATATATATATATATATATATATATATATATATATATATATATATATATATATATATATATATATATATATATATATATATATAAATTAAATTTTTTTTTTAATTGATAGACTGCCTGGCCAAACCAAACCCTCAGTCGATGTAGCAGCACTCTCTTGCGAGTCAGGCTATTTGTCAGTCGTTGTAGCAGCACTCCCTTGCGAGTCAGGCTATTTGTCAGTCGATGTAGCAACATTCCCTTGCGAGTCAGGCTATTTGTCAGTCGATGTAGCAGCACTCCATTGCGAGACAGGCTATTTGTCAGTCGATGTAGCAGCACTCCGTTGCGAGTCAGGCTATTTGTCAGTCGATGTAGCAGCACTCCGTTGCGAGTCAGGCTATAAGATAGTCGATGTAGCAACATTTACGCATGTTTTAAAAATGTTTTTTATTAAATCAATAACAAAAACACCACTAGTCGTTATAATTGCGGTTTTTTAAAAATTTTTTAAAAAACAATTAAATTTAATGTACTCTTGCATAAATTAATTGCTTTGACATTTCGATGACAATCAAAATCAGCTTAAGAGACGAGGTAATTAAAATTGTAGTCGTAAGAGACTTTTTTTACATTAAAACACTCTTTCGACTACACTATATGGGTATATATATATATATATATATATATATATATATATATATATATATATATATATATATATATATATATATGTATATATATATATATATATCACATATATATATATATATGTGGTATATATATATATATATTTATATATATATATATATATATATATATATATATATATATATATATATATATATATATATATACACTTTTTTTTTCTGTGCAATTCACAGTGGGAACATTCCATTGAAATAGGTGGCCAAAAATATAATTATTGTCTTGGATATTTTTTTATTTTTATTGTGGATATTTTTTTATTTTTATTTGTTAATTCACCTCCTCAAGGCCGAGAAGGCCACTACAGACGAGGAGGCTACTTATTTGTGGTTATAACCGTCTCTCAACTCTATAACTCCGAAAAACCTTGAAGAACAAGGTCGCTGCGCAGAGAAACAAGTTGATATTAAGCCTTAATTGAGGAAAAAATAAACTTAAGATAATATTTTTTTGTTTTTCTGTTTAACCAGCTGATAGGTGCAGCAAGAGGGAGGGGAGGGGAATGCAGTTGAGCGCTCTAGACACAAATTGGATTTTTTATATATGATACTTTTGGGCATTGAAATAATAAACTTGAGATAATATTTTTTTGTTTTTCCGTTTAACCAGCTGATAGGTGCAGCAAGAGGGAGGGGAGGGGAATGCAGTTGAGCGCTGGAGACACAAATTGGATTTTTTATATATGATACTTTCGGGCATTGAAATAATAAACTTAAGATAATATTTTTTTGTTTTTCCGTTTAACCAGCTGATAGGTGCAGCAAGAGGGAGGGGAGGGGAATGCAGTTGAGCGCTGGAGACACAAATTGGATTTTTTATATATGATACTTTCGGGCATTTTCTAAACAATGGACAATTTTCCAAATGCTTCAAGCTTGTTATGTTAATGCTTGAGTCAAAATATAATGTTTTACAAAAAAATTGTGGTAATTGAAGCCCAGGATCAAAAATACCCTAAAAAGTCAGCCCCACCCCAAACATGAGGGCAATGAGTTCAGAAAAAAAAAATTTCATATAATATAGCCTATATATATTTTTATATATACGCTATATTATAGTAATTTAAACTCATCGACAGGTTTTAACTATCATCAAATAATTTTTTATTCTTTGAAAATTATGATCATGTAATGTTTACAACCCCCTCATTTTGGGGAGGATGAAAACTTTATACAGTTATATCTTTCAAACATTAACAGATTATTAATTGAGAATTAAAATCTGTCCTTCTAATTCTCAACTAATAATAAATAATACAAAAACTAATAATAATAATAAAAAACAACAAATTAATCAAGATTTGGGGTATTCGTGTTTCCAAACTCCAATGAATTGAGCCAAACCACAGCAGTTTTTAAAACATTTTATTTAATTTTTTTTATATATTTAATAAATTTTTATATTAGGCCAATGAGTTTAAAGTTATGCATTATACAAATTATACAGTTGAGAATTTTATTCTTTTACATTTATATCTAGTTCTAGATTTTCATCAACATTGTCAACATTTAATTAGGAGATCAGAAATGTGTATAGCTCAAATGAAAAGGTTAAATTAGTTTTTTTATCTGCTTTTTATTCCCATTAAACCAAGTGAAACTGGTGAATTAATGATAATTTCCCCAGCAAGTGCTAATACTTTTTGAATGGAAGCTAGGGCCTTAAACCAATATGTCTCAATTTCTCATATGTATGATTGCTGTATTTATCATTTTTTTAAGGATCAATTTGATCTTTGTTATTGATTGCAATTAGAATGTTATGTAATTTCTTCATCAATTTCTAAAATTTTGCTGATTAATAATGGATCAGAAAATGCTCGTCTGCATAAATTTCCAGTATTACTAGTTCCAGATCCGCCAGCACTTGGTTCAACCAACTTCTTTGGTTTCTTTGAAACCAAATTCTTCAAACATTTTATCATGAATAATCTTTTTTTCTCAATAAATATTGTTTAAAGTCTTTTTAACTTTTCAAGTTTTGATTTCAATTCTATATGAAATATGTTAAATAATTTTAAAAAACTTAATTCAAGCATGTAGTGGTGAAATACCATAGCACAATGCCTGCCCATTTGTAACAAATCCTTCTTTAAAGATTTTTAGTGTCTGTGATTTAAAATAAGTTTTTCCCATCAATTGTTGAAAGGACAAAACTATTGTTTTGTCCTTTCAAAAACTGTTGATCAAAACATACTCCAAAAGTTTATTCTCCAAAAAGTATGCAAAACCTTCTTTAGAGGTCATTTTCTCTTGCAACGCTGTTGACAGAGTGTAAATCATAACAATTTGTGTCGCACTAAGTATTTTGACTAAATTAAATTTGCGTTTATTAAATTCTGTTTTTTGAGCCACTAACAATATTTTCTCGACGAATTTCATTTTTGAATCAAAAGATATATTTGCTACCCATTATCTTTTGGTGTTAGAACTCAATTCTCGAACTCCTTTATTGGTCGATCTCTTTTTGCTGATTTATTTATTAACCCCTCTTGGTTAGCTGAAAAACTGAAAGCCAATCCTGATTTTTACTATAAAATATTTCTTTTTTTCAATATGATGCATGCCATAGTGCAACATACTTTGCAAGAGTTAGATTTAAACTCCTTCCTAATAAATTTACTTTGTTTTCTCTGACTTAAATCCTAGTAATAATATTTAAATCCACTATCTACATTATCAAAAGCATTTTTCGAAACCTGAAAGCATTGCATAATTTGTCTTAAATTGATTTTCTCCATTACCCTAGTTCACAGCAATATACTTACAAAGTAAAAATAAATTTTTTAACAACATTTAGAAATACATGTGGTTCTTGGTCAATCAGTGGGATGTCAAAAATGCAATTTGAAATATTTTTTCTTAAATTAATTATGTTTTTGAAAACCATACACTTAAAATTTAAATAAAAATTAACTTTTTTTTTTTCAAGAACAACACAAAAACAAACTTACTTTAGTCTTTCATGCCTTAAAATAGTACAAATTGCATTTTTTAGTAAAGAATGAAAAAAGAAGTTGCTTTTATTCAAAGAAATTTTTTACTTGTTTATGGAAACATCAATTTTTCAACATTAGCGCTCAAGATTGCAGATGATCGCAGCCACCTTTTACATGTTAGTTAGTAGATACTATAGACTAAAAAATATCAAAATATGGAAAAGGTACAAATTGGAACAATTTTCAATTTGTACCTTTTCCATATTTTTAAACAATTCTAAAACCTGGAATCTTAAGAATTTTTATCATAATTACATTAAAAATCTAACTTAAAGAAGCCACTACCATTTAGCCTATCACATTAAGAATTTCATAAATTAGCAAATTCTTAGTGAGAGTGTTAGTAACAAATCCTACTAACACTCTCGCTAAGAATCCTAAAACATCTTTACTAACAAGGCCTTGTTTGTAAAGATGTTTTAGGATCATAGTGTTCAGAATAGCTTGTAATAACAAAGTAAAAAAGAATTAAAAAAAATAAAGTAAAATTCATTTAGAAATTATATGTTTTGAAAGCTTGTAAATAAGAATTTCATAAATTGTTTATTTCTTTATAATATTTTCAAAGTTTACTTCAATTTTGTTATATTCATAATATTTTCATAAATGTAAATGTAAAAATTAATTGTATAATTAATAATTAAACAGGTTTAACTATATTGAATATTATTAAGAGTAGCTATAACTAACTTAACCTAGCTGTAGGTGGCTCTAAAATCCAGTCAAATGTAAATTATAATAATAATAAAATTCAAAATTAAAAAACTGTAAAAAAAAGATTTTATTCATAGAATAAATATGTTATGCATCATTCAAATAGCTTTAGAAGTTTAAAGACACAACATATTTCAAAAATTACTTTCAAAAATTTATTATGATGCTTTTAGAATTGTCATTTTTAAAAAAGTTTTACATCTTATTATCTTTATTTTTCCACGCAAAGACCCTTTTAAATAAGGTTCATGTCATTTTTTTTTTTTTTTTCATGCAAACATGCTTTTAAAAATGGTTTAAGTCATATTATTTTTATTTTTCCATGCAAAATAAGTCATATCATTTTTTTTCATGCAAATGCATTTTTAAAATAGTTTTATGTCATATTCTCATCACAGAGTTTTATGTCATATTCTCATCACAGAGTTTTATGTCATATTCTCATCACAGAGCAATTTAGCCTAAATAGATCAAGTATTAAGATTTAAAAAAAAATTCCAAATTTGTATATAATTTTGTAAAAGCTCTTTTTTATCTCAAACCATTACACATATTATACACCATCTAATGGCATCACCCTTTACACCATCTAATGGCATCACCCTTTATGCACCATCTAATGGCATCACCCTTTATACACCATCTAATGGCATCACCCTTTATACACCATCTAATGGCATCACCCTTTATACACCATCTAATGGCATCACCCTTTATACACCATCTAATGGCATCACCCTTTATACACCATCTAATGGCATCACCCTTTATACACCATCTAATGGCATCACCCTTTATACGCTTAAATACTTTTTTCTTTTCCTCTTACCTACTTATGTATTATATTCTATATACAATTCTCTCTCAACTCCATTACTTTTAAACCCAATAAAATATAGTTAAAACTATATAAGATAAATTTTATTTTTTTTAATTAGATAAATTTTTGTGTAGGAGGTTATTGGTTCTGCAATTGCTTGGTATTTACTATCTAATGGAAAGTGAGTTGACTTCTATCTCATATTATTAGATTTTTAGATAAAGTGTTGGTAATTTTATATCATTATTTAGGATTCCATTGTATGCTGGTGTGCTAATAACAATTATGGATACATTTGCATTTTTATTTTTGGACAAATATGGTAAAAATTTTTTTTTGAAAAATAATTAAAATGCTTCTTCGATATCAACAAGAGAGTTATTAGGTTAATAATATAATTTTTCAAATATGATAAAGTTAAGTTGTTCAAGATCTTTTAAATATGCTTTTATTTGATTGATATATTTTTATGTGATTTTTTTGAATATATTAAAAAAAAGGGTATGATAAAATCAGGAAAGTTTTGCGGCAATATGTTGTTATTGACCTTTTCATAAAATTACTTATTGTTAAGGTCTGCAAGGAAATATAAATGGTTTAACTTAATGTATAATGCATTTTTGACTAATCAGAATGTCAGGCATCTGGCAGGCTATGGTTTTGTGTTGTTTTTTTAAACACATTTTATATTTTTTTAAACACATTTCATATTTTTTTTAGTTGCTTAACAAAATTATGTTTAAAATATTTTTCTCTCTCATAAATGTTTACACACACACACACACACACACACACACACACACACACACACACACACACACACACACACACACACACACACACACACACACACACACACACACACAAACATACACACACACGCACACTCACACATATATATAAATATATATATATATATATATATATATATATATATATATATATATATATATATATATATATATATATATATATATATATATATATATAGATAGATATAAATATAGATATATATGCATGTGCTTATAACATATTTTGATATTTGTGCGTATTTATTTTGATTTTTAAATTTTTAGGACAGCATATAAATTTTAAGTTCAGCAAAATAATTTAGAAATTTCCACACTTGTATTTTATAACAAATCCATATTTTGTTAATAAAAGTCATAGTTTTAGAGACCATTCAAAGTCAAGATTGCAACTCTCCATGTTCTATAGTTAAAGTTTTATTCTGATTTTGCTAGATACAGTTGAACATAAGTTGAAACAGTTTTATTCTGATTTTGCTAGATATGGTTGAACATAAGTTGAAACAGTTTTATTCTGATTTTGCTAGATATGGTTGAACATAAGTTGAAACAGTTTTATTCTGATTTTGCTAGATATGGTTGAACATAAGTTGAAACAGTTTTATTCTGATTTTGCTAGATATGCTTGAACATAAGTTGAAACAGTTTTATTCTGATTTTGCTAGATATGGTTGAACATAAGTTGAAACAGTTTTATTCTGATTTTGCTAGATATGATTGAACATAAGTTGAAACAGTTTTATTCTGATTTTGCTAGATATGGTTGAACATAAGTTGAAACAGTTTTATTCTGATTTTGCTAGATATGGTTGAACATAAGTTGAAACAGTTTTATTCTGATTTTGCTAGATATGGTTGAACATAAGTTGAAACAGTTTTATTCTGATTTTGCTAGATATGCTTGAACATAAGTTGAAACAGTTTTATTCTGATTTTGCTAGATACAGTTGAACATATGTTGAAACAGTTTTATTCTGATTTTGCTAGATACAGTTGAACATAAGTTGAAACAGTTTTTTCAGTGAGAATAGTAAACTTTGTTATGATGTTTAAGATGTTGTTATTTCTTCATTGTTTTGTTGTTGTTAATGAAAATAAAAGTTGTTAACTTAATTGTTAGCATAACAATATTTTGTTTTATTGTTGGGAAAATTATAAGGAAAACTGCAGTTTTTGTTTCAATAAATTATCTGCTTATTTATGATAACATTAGCAAACATTATTATATGTGACAAGAGTAACCAACATTTTATATATGACAACAGTAACCAACATTTCATATATGACATAACCAACATAACCAACATTTTATGATGTATAGTTAATGGTAACATAACCAACATTTTATGATGTATAGATAACATAACCAACATTTTATGATGTATAGTTAATGGTTTGTATAAATTTTTATATGCATTTTATATAAAGTTATTATATCATTGGTTAACAGTTATGTGTAAGTTCAAGTAAAATGTTTTATAACATTTACTTTTTTCTATTGCATTAGCAAGTAGGAAAGTAGAAAGTTTATTCTTTATATTCAGTGTTTCATGTACTTAGCAGATATTTAGTTTAATCTATACATTCAATGTTTTACATACAAAGCAGAAGAATAAAAAGAGGTTTGGAAAATAAATTTTTAAAATACCTGGATGATTATTTTGTTACAACTTTTTTAAATAAGTCCATAAAATTTTCTTAGTAAAGAACACTGTTTTTTTTCAATACTCAATTTTTACTTCAGTGGAATCAGGAAGAATTGTTAAATTTTTAAAACATCAATTTATTCAAGGTTTATTTTACAGAAAGTTATAGACAGGATAATTAACTTTTTTATTGGTGAAAACAATTATAATTATAAAGTTATAATAAAGTATAATATAATAATTCTTTTTAAAAATGGATTGATTTTTTTTTGACTCAAAGATCCATTAAAGAATCAATTAATTAAAATTTTTTTTTTTATTAGATACTATATAATTACTATTGAAAAGTAATATAACTGGTAGATAATTTTAAAATCATTTGAAAAAACAAAGTAATCCATAATAAATAAATGATAATTTTATTTAAAAAATTTCAATTAAAAATTACTCTTGAAGTATTATTGTGTGAAATAATGTTGACTCAGCATTTTAGAAATGATCTAAATAGCAAAATATTAATTTAGATAGCAAAGCAACTTTGACATATCTTGACAATGGCTTGGAAAGTTTTCTTAAATTTTGAAACCTTAATAGGTTTTTGATTAAGGAATTCCAAAAAAGCACTCTAGAAACTTTATTTTCAAAAGATGTTTTGTTTATTCAATTTTATTTGAAAATATTAACTTGTAAATTATTGTTTTTAAATTTATATCACCCTAAACGAGTCATTCACTAACATTTTTTTGTTAATTTCATCCATTAAAAGGTCTAGATTATAATCTTTGTTTATTGTTTGATGCTGTTTATTTTTGTTATTAAAAAATTTTTTTTTTTACTTTTGAAAACATTTTTGCATCTCTGTCCATAATATAATATCCTCAAACTTTGTTTTGCTGCTGGCATTTACCATGACATAAAATATTCCTTTAGCATACTACCAAGGGAATATTTTATGTCATAGTTAACTTTTTCTAGTTTATACCTTAAAAAATAGTTTTACAAGGCAACAGTATATGAAGTGGGTTATATGCTATATTAAGAACTAAATGAAACACCAAGAATTATTAAATATTAAACAATTAAAGAAAACCCCAAGAACTATTAAATGTTAAGAACTAAATAAAAAACACCAAGAATTATACAAAACCTTTTACACTACTTAATGTACTTAAAAGTTTAAAGAAAAAAAAAAGATAAAAGGCCAGAAAATGTTTACAAACATAAAAAATACTTTTCTTTGGGTTAATACAGTCTTTCTCATATATATAAGATAGAGTTGTCTCATATATATAGGATAGAGTTTTTTTTTTTTTTTTTTTTTTTTATTTTACTTCACCTCCTCAAGGCCGAGAAGGCCACTACAGACGAGGAGGCTACTTATTTTGTGGCTATAACCCTCTCTCAACTCTATAACTCCGAAACACGAACTTTGACAAACAAGGCCGCTGCGCGGAGAAACGAGTTGAGTGCGGTACTACCAGGGACATGGTGGGGATCGAACTCGGAACCACTCGTTTATGAAGCGAGCGCTCTACCACTACACCACTACCGCATAAATGGATAGTTGTCTTATATATATATATAGGATAGAGTTGTCTTATATATATATATAGGATAGAGTTGTCTCATATATATAGGATAGAGTTGTCTCATATATATATAGGATAGAGTTGTCTCATATATATAGGATAGAGTTGTCTCATATAGGATAGAGTTGTCTTATATATATAGGATAGAGTGTCTTATATATATAGGATAGAGTTGTCTCATATATATATAGGATAGAGTTGTCTCATATATATAGGATAGAGTTGTCTCATATAGGATAGAGTTGTCTTATATATATAGGATAGAGTGTCTTGTATATATAAGATAGAGTTGTTTCATATATGTAGGATAGAGTTGTCTCATATATATATGGGATAGAGTTGTCTCATATATATAGGATAGAGTTGTCTCATATATTAGAGTAGAGTTTTCTTATATATATAGAATAGAGTTGAGAGAGTTAGGGAGAGTTACCTTAATTGGATCACTTTGTAAATCTTTATTTCACAGGGACAAAATTTGGCATACTTAATTGGTTTATGTAATTGTAATAATAATGCCATTATTATGAATGTATATGCTATATTATTTGGAGTCGAGCTCAGATTTATCAAAAAAATGTTCCAACCTGTTTCCTAAATTAGAACAGGTTCCTTTTTTTTATCAAAAATACATTCAAATCAACAAAATCAATAATAATATATATATTTTTACCTTGCAGCAACAATAGAAATAATTTATCCTACAATATGCTGACCCAAATCCATATGATTTTTTGCAAAAAGAACAAAAAACAAAGAATAACAAAAAAAACTTATTGCTGCCCCAACCCAAACTCAGTCAATGTAGTAGCTGCTCATTTGCATCTTTTCCTATATCAGTTGTTGTATGTTCTGAAGCCCCCAGCATCAGTCATAGGTGTTGTATGACTTATTTTACTTTATGTTGGGTGTTGCATGACTTATTTTACTTTATGTTGGGTGTTGGGTGACTTATTTTACTTTAAGTTGGGTACTACATGACATAACTTTGATTTTCTTACTTTTTATTTAATCTTTAAATAACTTATATAAAATAAAATAATTTTTTTTTATTGTTTGAGACTTAATTAGCAAACCAACGAGCCATTCTAGTTAACCTTCTAACCTCTAAAGGACATCTAAAATTTGTTTTGACTCTAACTATCTTTGTTCTTTTTTTGTGTTTCATACTATTTCCAGGCACCTTCTTTGTTCTATTGGATTGTTTTATTTTTTTCTTATCATTTATAAGGCTTTATATGTTCATATCCTAATTAAACTATTTTATTTCCATGATGTCATTAGGCTTTAAATTTTCAGCAAAATAAAAGTCTTTCATGTGGTTCCTGTCACAGCCTATCCATATGGATATAAAATCCGCTTAATAATAAGTAAAAATATAAGAAATTTTATCATTGTTAAAAAATAAAAAAAGCATTTCGTAATTTTAGTATACATTATATAGTATACATTATAAGTTTGAATTTGAAATTGAGTTTAGTATACATTATATAGTTTGAAGAATGTTCAGGTTCGATTCCTGTATCAGGCAATATATAGTAAAAAGTTTACAGGTATATAAATGGTAACTGGCAACTTTAGCCTGATAGCCAGCAACTCTTCATCCTAGTTATGTATGCTTTATGTTTTTTTTTAAGTTCAATTAAAACAAACAAATTTTAACTAAGTAAAGTTAGTATACAGGGCTTTGACTTGCTTAATAGCTGAGTAAATCAAGTCCATTTTTATGTAATAGTGTTCCTTAATCATATAAAGGGAAAGGTTAAAATGATGGTATTATGATTCTTTGATTTTTTATAATTATTTTCTTATGTGTAAAAACAAGAATGTTAAAATCAATTGTTAAAATTAACAACAATTGAGTTTTTTGTTGAACATAACATTATAGAATTGAGGAGAAGGGGTGTGTTATTTCAAGATGCGATCAATAGATTTATGAAAGATTGTCGGCTTTTAATATAATTGGAATTCTTGAATAAATATTTGAGTTTAAATTGATCTTTTTTTCTAGAAGCAACTAGTTGCATCAGTCAAGAGTCATTGTCGGCTGAATGTTTTAAACATTAAATGTTTAAAGTTTATTAACATTGAAAACATTTGATCATTTTACAGTATTACTGAGTTTTTATAAGTAGTATAAGTGGTATTAGTGTTTTTATTATTTGTTTTTCTAGTTATTGAAAATAACTAGAAAGTTTTTATTTTTGCCTTTTTATATCATATAAATTATTTTAGATGATTCTTTTGATCTTTTATTTAGATTAACTTTGACATTCTTTATATTTAATATTAGTTTTTATACTTATTTCAGAGACCATTTTGCTAATTTCATCTGTCTTTTTAAAACAGTATGCAGTTGTACAAAGTATTTGATTATTTTATCTACAAATTATCTATATAAAACAGAAATGTAGTAGTTTGTTGTATATAGAAAGACATTTTTTTCACATTCCAGATTTTCCTTGTTATATAAAGCAGGCAATCTGTTCTTTACAAAATTAGTGTGCCTAGAGGTTAATCTTGAAGTTTTTATGCTAAATATGCGAGTATGACTGATAGAAATATCAACAGAAATAAGCAAAATTTAATCATTTAAAAATCATTTAAAAAGTCAGGAAAAATCAGGTAATTTTTTTTCCAGAATTATAGTGGCAACCCTGGTTTTGGAGTATTCAAGATTCATTATAAATAATAATATTTTATAGGTGCTTTTAGTATTCTTTAGTATATTTATGATATATTTACAAAAGTGCTATTTATTTTATTTATATTATAATTTTATTTAATATTTTTATTATTCATTTTTTAATTTTTTTTTTTCAAATTTCTTTTTTTTTAATTTTAGATTTTTGGTGACCTAATGTTTTGATGTGATAAAATTAAACAGATCAAATAAAAAATAAAACAGAATGGAACTATTTTTAATAAAAAATGTTTCTAATTTTAAGGATTTTTATTAGAAATTTTTTAAAAACTTAAAAAAATTTCTAATAAAAATCCTTAAAAAGATCGAGATCATATGATAAGGTTTCTTAAAAAAATGGAGATCATATGATAAGGTTTCTTCTAAGTTAGAATTTTTTTTTATTTACTTTAGGTTTTCGCAAACTTGAAGCTTTTTTTGGTTTACTGATCACAATAATGGCACTTGCATTTGGATTTGAAGTAAGAATGTGCAAGTGAAACAAGTTTTGTTAATAAAATCTTTTTTTAAATTCTATTTTCACTTTTAAATTCAAAAGTGTTTTATTTAGTATGTCATAGCTGCACCGAAACAGGACCAGGTTCTTAAGGGAATGTTTGTTCCAGGTTGCAGTGAGTGTAGCTCGAGTGCAATTGTGCAGGTATTACTTTTTATAAAAAGTTTTTTTTTTTCAAAAGCATTTATAAATTTGAATGGAATAATGTTGCTAGTAATAAAAAGTAGTAAAGAACAAAAGATCAAAATAGTAAATTACATCAAGCAAAACATTAACATGGAAATTAACAAAATTAAACATACTTTACACTCAACATTTATGTTTATTTTATATTATTAACTTTTCTTAAAAGTAGAAAATATCTTTTAAATATCTCTGAGATTATCAGGTTAAAATTTATCAGGTTTAATTTAAGCATTTAATAAAAGCAATACAGCACAACATAATTAAAAGATAATGTAAAGTTTGTTTACATATTTGCAAAGTATCTATTATAGTTAATTTATTTTTGTTTTTCTAAATCAAATTCACTCCCAACAAAGCTGCTAACTTGTAATTCTAGTAACTTGGGAGTTACTAGAATAGAAAGAATAGAGTTAAATAGCAAGAAAACCTTTGATAGAAGAATTGAAAAGTTGAAGATCGGAGGGAGAGTTCCAAAGGAATAAGGTGGAGAAAAAAACTAGATGAATTTAGATACAGTGAAAAGATGCGACTTTGCTGAATGATGAGTCAAGCAAAAATGAGTTTAGTTGATGAAACTAGAGATAAGAGCTCCTTTGAGCAACGACAATGATAACATTTGTAGAAAAGAGAAAGAGATGCAACTTTAGACATTGGGAGAGATGCTCAAGCTTGGCATATAAAGCAGGTCCAACTACATTTACAATGAGATTTTTGACTTTGACTATAAGAGAAAGAGTATTATTAGAAGGAACAACCCAAATATGACAACAGTATTTTTTATAGGAAAGAATAAGAGATTACAGAATCATTGATAATGACAAACACAATAAAGAGAAGCAACCTTAGCAGATGCTATCTTTGCAATTGTATATATGGTTTCCATATATGCAATCAATTAATATATAAAATAATCCAAGAAGACTTAAAAAAAGGAGCTCAGTGAACTTGAAAAAAGAACTCCATTCATCAATATATAATGTAAATGATCAAAAAGAAAAGATTTTTTGTCAAGACAGAAGTATAAAGTTGAGTTGTCAGAAAATTGAGCCACTTTAGATTTAAGATTGTCAAGAAGTTCATTAATGTAGATAAGAAACAATACAGGATCAATGATAGTATCTTGAAGTTACTAAAAATGAAAAAGAGTGTTGTCATTTGAGGATGACTGAAATTGTGGCTAGAAAGAAATGATTTGATAATCTCAAAAATTTTCCTAGATACACCATATGAAGAAAGCTTATGGAGAAGACCAGCATGCTAAACTTTATCAAATGTTTTAGACATATCAAGAGCAATAGCATGTGGCCTCCATCTATTGCCTCGTCGCCTGCATCTAATGTACATCAGTTCACTACAGTAAAATGAAAAGATTAAAAATCATATCGATTGTTAGAGAGTAATTTATTACACTCAAGATTGGATATTAGAAAATTTTTTGATTAAAGACTATAAGAACTTTGAAATAATAGAGAGTTTATTAGTCTCAAAAAAAGCAAGCAAGTCTGGTGAATTTGGAAAAAGTAAGATACAATAAATAAAATTTATTTTGAAGACCACAAATTTTTGTGAAAAATATATTGAAACAGTATAGTAGTGGTGGTGGATTTTTATGTTTGACTTTTTTTGGTTACTTTTATCAGTTTTTGTTAAAGAGTACTTGTCTCAACCATAGCAAGAGCATGTAATCCCAAACAATCAGCTATTCAGTTGCCTTGATACTGCTAATTAATACTCTGATATTTTACAGCTGTTGGTGGAATCAGCCTTTTTGAGAGCTTTCACAGAGTTAGGGAAATTTTGTGACCAGCCGGGCTCAGAATCATTAGAAGGAATTTTAAAGCTATACACTTATTAGAGATAAGTACATACTTATAATTACTTATTAGTGAATGAACACCGTACTTATAATTACTTATTAGTGAATGAACACCGTACCAAAAGTTCAGACAAAACGCAAAAATACAATAAAGAAGTTTACTGGTGAATAAACGCAGGCTCAGAGTTTCAGGGAAAACACAACATACAAATAGCAGTTTACAGGTGAGTGAACATTGCGCCAGAGGTTCAGACAAAACATAAACATACAAATATAGCTAATTACGGGTGAGCTAACAGTAACTAAAACATTTTTAACTATATATAAGACAAAAATAGGTACTACTATAGACATAACAGGTATTAGATAGTATTAATGACAGAAAGTTCACATCTTCTAACATTTTAGAAAATGAATCCTTCAAGGCAACTTGACACAATGTTTTAATTATAAATCTATTAAATTAAAAATAGATTAAAAATTAACAATTTTAACAAAAGTTCCATACATAAAATAATTAATAAAACTAACACACTGGAAAAATCATACATTTGAAAAAATCATATTATTGAAAAACTATATTTGTTATCATACTATACATAAAGCATAAAAGAAATCATCATCATTGCCATACAAAATAAAAACATCATAAAACTCATATAATTTTTAATATTATTTTAATAATATATATAGCATATTACATATTATAGTCTAGTTATCTTTTTAGACCTTATATATGTCTAACTTCTTTGGCATTGTTAATGATGTT